CTTTGTGACCCCATACAGTCCATGGGATTCTCCAGGCCAGAACACTGGAGTGGGTTGCCATGCCCTCCTCCAGGATATCTTCCCAACCCAGGGATCGAACCCGGGTCTCCCTCATCGCAGGCAGACTCTTTACCACCTGAGACACCAGGGAAGCCCATTTCAAGTGACTGGCAGCCAAAAAATAGCCACTGATTTCACAGAAAAGAATACTATTTTCATAGGGAGGTTCAGATGAGCCAATTACTAGTAAGAAAGACAACTTTTAAATTAAAATTTTCCTTCTCATTGAAGATAGGGCATTAGAATACAGAAACAGGCATTTGAATTACATACAAATCAAGAACCTAGTTTTTATTCCTTGTGTAATGTTACACATGACAAAAAATATCAGATGAAACACTAAATTGCTATTGCATAAGCTTATACTTGAAACTAATTTCAGAACTACACAAATCTGATTTGTATAAAGTTAAATCTTTTTAGAAAAATTTCTCTGTAATGGCCAACTGTAGATGTTCTAAAATTTCTATTTCAAGCTAATTTATCAGAGATTTATCTCAGTGTTGTCATAGCCTATAAATACTTGTAACACCTCCAGTAACTGCTACAGTAACAGAGAGATCCTTCACAAAAGTAAAAATTATCAAAAATTATTTGTAATCTTCCATTTGCCAAGAACAGTTGACATCATTTTCAATTACACTGGTGAAAAATGAAGTTGCTGAAAGAATTGGTTTTGGTAACCTAATAAATACATTTGCAGTCAGAAAAGTAATTTTATGATTAATCAAGACATTATATTAATAAAGTGTCATTATTTATTACCCTACATAAACTTATGAAGCCAAAATACTATTTTACAATTTGTAAGTTTTTCTTGTTAGTTGTATATCATTTTTATCCCTATTACACCTTGAAAAGTGAAAGTATTAGTCACTCAGTCGAGTCTGACTCTTTGCGACCCCATGGACTGTAGCCCACCAGGCTCCTCTGTCCATGGGATTCTCCAGGCAAGAACACTGGAGTGGGTAGCCATTCCCTTCTCCAGGGGATCTTCCTGACCCAGGGATTGAACCTGGATCTCCTACATTACATGCAGATTCTTTACTCTCTGAGCCACAAGAAGTTAGTTAGAGGTAACAAAATATTTTAAAGAAAAAAAAGCTTTATATTTTAAGATTGCGGTTAGCACTTGTTTCCTGCCTTTTGAAAGAGAGACACCAAATTTTCCATTTTTCACTGACCTGGCAGATTATGAAGCTGCCCTTGACCATAGGGTCACCCTGGAGATGAGATTCTCCTCCATCACTGCCTGTCCCTCTGCACGTCTCCCGCCCTGACCCCGGCACCCCCTGTCTGACCCTGGAGCCCCCTGCCTTCCCCAGCCAACGCTGCCCACAGAGCTGCCCCACCTGCCCGGTCTCCCTAGACCCCCTGCTGGAGGTCCCTGCGGGCAGCGTGTCAAGATGCTGGAGAGGGTCTCGGCGACTTGCCCAGGGTCTCCATGGCCTGGTTCTGCTCCCCCAGCTTCAGATCGTGGTCCTGTCCCCGGGGAGTTACGTGGCCCCGAGCAGGGTGGGGTGTGGTCCCTGTGTACCTGCCAATCCCAGCGGGAGCAACAGAGGCCCTGCATTGTCTCAACTGCCCTCTGACCTGGGCAACCCACTCTCATCATTCACAGCTGGTGAAGGGCCACTGTCATCAGCTGACCTTCAAAGTTGTGCAGTGATTCAACGTGAATTCAAGTATGAACAGGCTTGGGAGCTGATTTTATAGAAGAGGGGTTTCCTCAAGGCCTTACCCCAGGTGGCAGGAATCTCAAAGACCATCCATGGTATCTCAGCAAAGAAGGAAAAAAGCTGGAACTCGGAGAAGCCCATCCAAGAGTCTGTTCAGCTTTGACGACTGCAAAGAACTGTGTGTGTCTGCACTGCTGATGAATGCTGTCTATTTCTACTCCTTATGTAAGTCTGAAAGGATGGGGCAGAATCTGCTGAGTATATCAAAGACCCATTTTTAATTCATGGTGGGCTGGAGAAATAAAACTTACTTTTGGAGGAAGAAATCTACAAGGAGTTTTTGGAAGCCAACCAGCTTAATAAACACAGGCTCTAAGTAAATAGCATAAAGAATTTATGAAAATCGCTCTCTGCATTTATGTACAGCCGGTCGCGTGGGGTCCAGCGTATCACAGCTTCCCGTTCTTTCCAGGACGCGCAGTGTGATTCTCACCCAGTGTGGCCCAAGTGGCCCAGCTGTGAGCAGCCGTCGTGAAGGACCGTGTTTGTTTAGGAGGGAGTGTGGCCTTGCCCTGTCTGAACCCCTGGGGGAGGAGCCGGGAGGAGCTGATGATGACTCAGCCTAGGGCTGTAGAACCAGTTCTGGGTGGCGGCAGGTTCACGGGGCTCCTGGCGTGTGGGAGCCCGGGGGCCTGCTTGGGACTCAGCAATTCTCCCACGGCCAGATTCACCCTCTGCCACCCCATCGCCCACAGCTGGTTCACACCCTCACCTGGTGCTGAGACTCTGGTGACCCCCACTGGACACCCCCCGCCCCCCAGATCTACCAGGTTTCGGGAGCAGGGGCTCTGTGTTCTGGGGTACCAGGGGTGGTCCCAGGCACTGCTAAGCTGCCCCTCCCTGCTAGACCCAGGTACGGACAGGGGACCAGAGCAGCTGGGGTCCCTGTGGTCACTCTTGTGGGCCCCTGGTCACTCGTGGTCACTTGTGGTGGAAGTGGGGAGGCATGGGTGGAGGTGGAGACATTGGAGGGGCCTTGGGAGGATGGGGGGTGCTCCGTACAAAGAAAAGGGTCCTCCCTCTGCTGGACTGGCCAATGCTGAGTCCTGAACTTCCTCAGGGGCTGGAGAGAACTCACGGGGCGGGACGGCCAGAGCGGCAGGACGTCACCAGTGCGTCTTTATAAAAGATTACTGTCTTTTAGCAAAACACTCAGACCCTACAGTTCACCATCTCAGCAGCTGCCAAGTGCCCGGCTCAGTGGCGTTAAGCACGTTCACAGGCGGGCCCCCGGCCCCACCACCCGTCTTCAGGACGCTCTCATCGGCCCTGATGGAAACTGTCCCCACAAAACGCTGACGGCCTGTCTCTCTGAGCAGCAGCAGGGCTGAAGGGGCCGAGCAGGCCTGGGGTCCCGCCCTGGACCCTGGGCGGTGGAGGCAGGCGGGGCCTCTGGGAGGCTCTCCTGCCCCCCACCCTGGTCCCCAGCTGCCAGCACCATGGATGGTGCCGGGAACCAAAAAGGAAAATAAATAACGAGCCTGTGTTCATTTCAAGCCCCATTACAAGCACATTAAGAAAGAATCGATACTGGCCTTGTCACTTGGAGAGGAGAGAGCTAGGCCCAGGAGTCAGCTCATTTTGGTGCTTCCGTGTCCAATAAACACGGCGAACAAGACGCCGGGGCCAGGGCTCAGCCCTCCGCTTTCTGCGCCTCTGGGCACCGGCCGCCAACTGTGCTTCCCCCAGCCTCGCCCAGACCCTGGGCCATGGGCGCAGGCTAGGGGCGCCCCGAGGGGACAGGGCCGCCTCCCGTACCATCCACCACGACGCTCACTCAAAGGGCATGTGCCTCCATCCTGTGTCTCGCCCCTCCCGCCCCCAAGGCTGGGCTCTGGAGGGTGCCCCAGGGAGGGCAGGGGTGGGTGTGCCTGCAATCCTGGGGCCAGGGCAGGGCTACCCCTGGGCCTCGGGCACTGGGGGGCTGGCTGTGGGCTCCCCTCTGTGACCTCCTGCGGGCCACACACCTCCACCCCCGATGGGCAGGGGGGCTGGCTCTGCCCCAGGGGAGCTGTGGCCCGCAGCAGCCCCCACAGTCCTGGGGGAGGAGGTAGGTGAGGCCCCATCTCTGCTGCAGCCACTGAGCCGACCGCTGGCTGGCCGGGCCTGGGGGCAGGAGAGGGGCCGCTGCGCTCAGGTGACGGGGTGACAGCAGCCAAGTGGGAACCGCCTGCAGTGACCATGGAGGGCCCCAAAGAGGCAGAGTCCAGGGGGCCAGGGCGAGAGAAGGCCCGCGTCCGGGGATGGAGGGCACACACGGGCATCCTGGCGCCTGGCGCTCCCCTCCCTGGGGGCCCCAGCGCAGGGTACAGAGGGCAGCAGCATGCCTCCGGGGGCCGGAGAACCTGCCCGGCTGGGGAGATCATGGCGGGGGGCGCCCACCTGGACCTCAGGGGCCCAGCTAGCCCTGAGCTCCGGCTGGAGCCTGAGGGGCCGGGCAGGAGTTGACCCAGGCCTCCAGTGGGAAGGGTGGAGCCAGGATGGGCTGGGAGGCTGCGGGCAGGACTGGAAGGCCATGCTCTGGGCAGTGAGCCAGTCCCGGGGGAGGACGTGGGGTCCTCCCTGTGGGCGGGAGGCCTGGGGCTGGAGGCGGCTGGGGCCGGGGCTGGGGGCCTCTCAGCACCCAGGGAGCCGGGCTGGTCGGCTTTCCTCTGCGTCTGCGGGTACGCCTGAGTGTGTGTGGCTGGCCACACCTCGCTGGCCTGTCTGAGTCGGACTCCACCCCCGGGAGCTGCTTCCGGCTGTGGCGGTGGGCCTGGCCTCACCAGCTGCCCACGCCAGGCTGGGCCCAGCTGGCTTGCGCTCTGGCCACCGCCGCCAGGACCTGTGGGGTGACCGCCACCTGGGCTCTCACTCTGAGGTGGGCAGTGCCCTCAGAATAACCTCGAAAGGCCAGTACTATCGACCCCCCATTTTACAGATCAAAAGACCCAACACAGGAGACCCCATGAGGTGGTATGCCTGGAGCGCGCAGACCTGAATCCAGGCCGGGTTACTCAGAGCCTGGGGGGTTGGACTGGGGTTAGGGCCAGGGGTCAGGTTAGGGGTTAGGATGCCTCGCGTCCCTGATGGGAGGCCCTGGGGCCACCGCAAACCAGGTGGTCACGGCCGGAGGGCTTTCGCGCGGGACCGGCCGGGGCAGGGGGCACCCAGCAATGCCGAGGGCGGGGTGTGGTCTGAGCAGGGTGCTGGGGCCCGTCCATGGGTGCAGAGAAGGGCTCGGAGGACAGTTGGGGTGGCGGCCCAGCTCCAGCCACTTCAGTGGACGTTGGCCGGCTCCAGCCCAGCCCCAGACCCAGGGCCAGAGTGAGCCCTGGACTGCTGGACAGTGGAGGTGGGCACAGAGCCGGGGGCTCTGAGGCGGATGCCTGCCCTGGATGGGGGCTGGCTTAGGTGACCTTCAGGCCCCTTCCAACCTGGAATGTCCTAGGATGACACAGAGCTTCCTCATCTCTCCGAGAGGGCCGAGGGGCCCTGGGCAGGCGGCCCGGTCCAGGAGCCTGGGGCCCAGCCCAGGAAGTGATGGACATGGTGGGACACAGGAGGGGGACCTGGGGTCAGGACACAGGAGGGCCACGGCGTCCAGCTTCTCCCGCCCTCGGCCATCTGCCTGTTATCACTCCACCTTCTCTCCTGGCCCTGGGAGGGCTCCAGGCTCGGGCCCCCAGCAGCGGCCCCGCAAGCCAACGGCAACCGCTCAACGACATCAAGGCGGGGAGGCGTCTGGTTAACCAAAGGGAGAAAAAAAATCAATTTTCCCATACTGCCTCTTGAAGTGGTCTCTTGAAGCTGATTCAGAAATAATATTGTCTGACATTCCAAGAGGCAGTTCACATTTCCTGAGCACGTCTGCTTATCACTCTCAAGCCCCAGGACAATCTCGCTGCGAAGGAGCCGCACTTGACGGAGGAAGAAATGAAAGCCCGAGAGGTTAAGAAGCTCGTGGGGCACAGTCGGCCCTCCAGGCCAAGGACGGCCAGGGCTCAGGCTGGGCTGGGCTGGGCGTGGCTCCGGTCCCTACCTGGCCGACATCCCTGCCCCGCCTGCCCCTGTCCCCCCAGACGGGGACACACAGGCTCTGCAGGACGAGGGTCCTGCACCTGCTGCAGATGCTGCCGGCGGAGCCCTCCGCCAGGCCGGGGACGCCTTCCTGCCTGGGCACGGCAGTCTTAGTTCCATTCAGCCCTTCACCTGCCTGGGTGAGGCCCACCCACTTCGGAGGCAGGGCGTGATGGGGGCGGGGGAAGAGGCTCTGCTTCATGAAAATCCAAATTAAATGTTAATCTTCTCTGAAAAAACATCCTCCCAGAAACATCCAGGAATGTCTGACCAAACGTCTAGGCCCTGGGACAGTGCTGGGGGAGGCACAGAGGTTTTTCCCGGATGCCCCCAGCCCCTGGGCTTGTGCTGGGCCAGCTTGCGTGTCGGGTCCCCACACGGAGGCTGGGCTGGGTTGGGGGGCATCACCCCTACTTGCCATCCATGGACGCCTTGTCGTTCCATGCTGTGTGCTGTGGCCCCCACTCGCCCCCAAGGGGTGCGAGGGTCACGGCTGCTGCCCCCACTGTAGCCACCCACCCCCTCAGTCCGTCCAGCTGCTTCCAGCTTCTCCCACACCAAGATCACCGATCCAGTCTCCCACCCGTCACTGCACACGGTTCAGTGTGGAGTGGAGAGGCCACAGCACCTCCCAAAGCCTTTCTGAGTGACCTTGAGCCAGGAGCATCCGTGTCCGCTCTGTGCCTGCAGCAGGTAAGGTTGCGGGCGAATGGCTGCCCCCACCGGCCGGGTCCACTCTCAGGAGACAGAGAGCTTTTGCCTTGAGCCAGGAGCATCCGTGTCCCTTCTGTGCCTGCAGCGGGTAAGGTTGCGGGCGAATGGCTGCCCCCACCGGCCGGGTCCACTCTCAGGAGACAGAGAGCTTTTGCCTTGAGCCAGGAGCATCCGTGTCCCCTCTGTGCCTGCAGCGGGTAAGGTTGCGGGCGAATGGCTGCCCCCACCGGCCGGGTCCACTCTCAGGAGACAGAGAGCTTTTGCCTCGCTGTCCTGAGTCCTCCTGGTCCTGCCTGACCGACCGGTCACTGAAGCCCATATTGGAGCACCAGTGATGAAAGTTGTGTCCAGGCTTCGGGCCGAGGGGGCCAGTCTGCTGCGCTGGACACCTACCCCTCCCAAAGCCGGTTCTGTAAGACCGAGTGTGGCCAGTTCACAGCCTCCTGTGATGTCTGAAGTGGGGGCGGGGACACACGCCTGCCGAGGCCCTCCCGGGACCACGTTGGGGTCCCCCAAGCAGTCCGCACCCAATGCCCGGGACCACCTGCTCCGCTTCCCTTCCGGAGACCCCAGGATGCATCACTGGAGAAGCTCCGGCTCAGCCACGTGGACCAGGAGCGCAGACAGCGTGGAAGCTGCCAGAACATAGGGCTCCAGAGCTTGGCAAAGGCAGCAGAAGGTGGTGGTACCCGAGGCTGCACCAGACTGGTTCCAGCAGCCCCGCTCCCAGCCCGTCTGTTCCTGCCAATTAGTCAATGAACTACAAGCCGCGGAACGCCAGGCACCGCCGGCCGCCGGCACCAGGGATGGATGTACTGGAAAAGAGAACATGTTCTGAGTGGCCCGGCGGGCATCGCGTCCGCTCCGGTAAGCGGGCCCTGCAGATGCACGCGCGGGCGCCTCCCGCGCCGAACATCACGCTGGCGGCTCCGCGGAGGGGCATCGGCAGCCGGAAGGCCAGCGGGGCCCTCTGTCCACGCGGCTGGCTGCGCTGGGTGACCCTGCGCGCGCTGCTGGGGAAGCCCCTCCCCCCTCCCCCCACACCCCGCCGCCCCTGGGGAAGCGCCCCCTGCCGCCCCCCACCCCCCCCCCACAACTTCTCCAGCCAGACTCCAGGGCAGGACGGTGGACTCAGCAAGGGCTTGGGGTGGAGCAAGGAAGTGCTGGCAGGGAGGGTGGGAGTGGGGTGAGGACACACCACGAGGCCTGTGGAGTGAGTGGGTGGGGCGTCCCCTTTGTGGAGCGGGGGCTCGGCGCAGGAACCCAGTGTATGGGTTTAGCAGAGTGCTGGGCTAGGTCACCAGCTGCCGGCTCCCAGCTCTCCTCCCTTTGACCCAGCTCTGGGTACTCCCGTGGCTTTGCAGAGCGGCCTGGGCCTGGGCCTCTGGTGCTGTGTCCGTGGTAGGTTATGCTCTGCTTCTGGGTTTTGCTCAGCTGAGTCGTAACATTACACACCCTGGGAGACTGGAACCCAGGTGCACTGCTGATTGGATTGCAGGTCGGTGCAGCCACTCTGGAAAATGGCACAGTGTCTCCCCAAAAACGGAAACATAGAATTACCCTAGCTGATCTGCGATCGCATTTCTGCGGAGACATCCTGAAGCGCTGAGAGCAGAAAGGTGAGCTGATCTTTGTGCATGGATGTGCAGTATTCATAGTCACCCGAAGATGAAAAACCACCCAGTGTCCACTGATGGATGGTCGGATAAACAAACTGTGGTCCACCCATACAAGCAAATATTCTTCAGCTTCAAAAGGAAAGAAACCTGACACCTGCTACCTCGTGGATGGGTCTTGAGGACGTTGTGCTCAGCGACACAGACCAAGTATAAAGACAAATGTTGCATGACTGCAACATATGAGGGCCCTGGAGGAGTCTGAGTCACAGAAGCAGAAAGTGGATGGTGGGAACATAGACCGCTGGAGGGGGTGGGGAGGGGTGCTTGATGGGGACGGAGGCTCGGTTTGGGGAGATGAGAAGGTTCTGGAGATGATGGTGTGGACGGTTGCACAATGTGAATGTACTCAATGCCTTTGAACTGTGCACTTAAAAATGGGTAAAACAGTAGAGTTGTGTGGGGTTTCCCAGGTGGGGTAGTGGTAAAGACCCACCTGTCAAACCAGGAGACAGAACAGAGGAGGATTTGATCCCTGGGTCAGGAAGATCTTCTGGAGAAGGACACAGCAATCCACTCCAGAATTCTTGCCTGGGAAATTCCATGGACTGAGAAGCCTGGCAGACTCTACAGTCCATAGGGTTGCAAAGAGTTGGACACAGCTGAAGTAACTTAGCACAGCACACACACACACACAGAGACCACACACACACACAGACCACACACACAAAGACCACACACACACACACACACACAGAGTCCACACACACACACAGACCACACACACGCACACACACACACACAGACCACACACACACACACACACACAAAGACCACACACACACACACACACACAGACAACACACACACACACACACACACACACAGACCACACACACACACACAGCACACACACACACAGAGAGACCACACACACACACAGACCACACACACGCACACACACACACACACAGACCACACACACACACACACACACAGACCACACACACACACACACAGACCACACACACACACACAGCACACACAGCACACACACACACAGAGACCACACACACGCACACGCACACACACACACACACAGACCACACACACACACACACACACACACACAGACCACACACACACACACAGCACACACAGCACACACACACACACAGAGACCACACACATGCACACGCACACACACACACACACAGAGACCACACACACACACAGAGACCACACACACACACGCACACACAGAGACCACACTCACGCACACACACACACACACACAGACCACACACACACACACACATGCACACACACACAGAGACCACACACACACACAGACCACGCACACGCACACGCACACGCACACACACACAGAGACCACACACACGCACACGCACACGCGCACAGACACACACACACACACACACACACATCTTACTATAAAACAACAACAAAGTGTCCCTGGGATGCCCAGCCCTGAGTTCAGCCTGGGTTGATGTGGTTACTTCTATCGGTCACTTCATTCATTAGAGCTGGTGCCTGTCTGGAGCTGACCCTGAAGAAGACCTTTCCATCTCTTTCAGTCCACATAATCCTCTCAGGTCTGCAACACTTGAAGCGTTATAGAAACCACCCAGCAATACCGCTGACCAGCACGTGTGTGCAGTCGTGTCCGACTCTGCAACCCCGTGGACTGAAGCCCACCAGGCTCCTCTGTCCATGGGATTCTCCAGGCAAGAATACTGGAGTGGGTTGCCATTTCCTCCTCCAGGGGATCTTCCTAACCTGGGGTTGGAACGCATGTCTCCTGCATTGGCAGGTGGGTTCTTTACTTCTAACGCCACCTGGGAAGCCCCAAACAGCACGTCTCTGACTAGAATGATGCATCTGAGAGATTGTTTATGTATAACCCCCACTGTCTAAAATTATGTTTTCATTTCCAATCAGGGACAGAAATTTATATATTTTTTCCCCTTAAATAATTTTCTTAACCATCACACATTTCCTGTCTTTTCTCATGTGAGCCCAGTGTTTTTGCCTGTGAACAGATGGCTTGGAGAATTTCATGAATGCCTTCTCCCCCTTTCTGACACACGCTCTTCTGTTTTTGGAAGCCCCCAGTGAAAATGGCCAACTGAAATAAGGACACAATTGGTGGTGTTGCCGACGGAGGTCTGAGCCAGAAAGCCAAATATCTGTAAACGAAGAGACAATTTTCCCCACCCAATAAAATTTAAAGTAAGAAAGACAGGGATTAATTGGGCAGAAGCACTGTGAAGTGTAGCATGAACATCGGAATCTTGGGGAAGTTTTCAGAGTTAAAAATGACAAGCGAGGACCAGCGGTGAAAGATGAGTCTGGGTCCATAACCAAGGCTGCCAAGCCAGCACAGGAAGGCAGAGCCTGATTAATCAGCCTTCTGAACGGAGGGCAAAGTCGGCCAGAGACCCCTAGAGCAGAGCTGAGGAGACCAGAGGCTGCTGCTCAAAACACGTCCCTGGAGAGAAAAGCCCCAGAGTCTCCCAAGGTCTCGCGTCAAGCCCAGAAATGGCACGGGGAGATAAACAACACGTCCTTAATGATGCTAAAAACACCACAATAATAACCTGCCTTCAGATGGGCCATCAATTGTGTCCAGATGGTGGTTGGAACCCACAAATATTTCACGCCTCCATCTGCTCCCTTCACAGCTTCCGCTTCGACGGGTACCAGGAAGGTGGGTTTGCTTCCAGATTTTGTCATTAGCCTCACGTCGAGTTGCTTGGTTTGATTCACGGGCCATTACCAGGCATCCGGCTGTGGATGGTGGCGGTTCCTGGCAGGGACGGCTGGAGGGGCCCCTTGGGCCAAGCTGTCTGTTCTCTGTCCCACTCAGACTGCACCCCCTGCACCCGCTTCGAGAGAGTCCTGCCCGTCTTACGCCCTTTGCCTTCCTCCGGACACCACAGAGGGACAGACTCCACTTGCCCGAGTCTGAGAGCTCAGAGCTCCACCCTGGCTGCGGAAGGACCTGATTTTTCTTGCCTTATCTGCAGAGGAAGTGGGCCTCGTTCATTCATCACTCGCTCACTCACCCGTGTGCCCACCAGCTCGTTCACTGCCGTCAGTAGCGTCTGAGCCCCCAGCTGACTCGGAGTCCAACGCTACTGATGAAGCCGAGAGCTCTGCAGGGTCCTCCTCACACTGAGCCTACAAACGGCCGCGTCGTGTTTGTCTAATAACCTCATTAAAGTCACCCGGCACCCGCTGCGTCCAAGACCCTGTGCCTGGGATGGTGAGGATGTCAGGCGGATGAGATGCAGAGGCCATCCATCCCAAGGTGGTGCAGGCTTGAGATGACCGTGCACCATGATTCATGGAGTGGGCGGGAAGTTCCAGGCTCACCACCGCATTTCTGAGCCTGGGCCCCAGGGGAGGCGAGGGACGCGCTCAAGATCTCTCAGCTTGGAGCAGTGGGGCCAGGGTGTGGACTCAGGGACTTGGCGCGTCCAAGGCTCCGGAGGTTCATCCCCACCCCGCCCCCGCCCTGCACAGGCAGCTGGCCGGAATCACCCCTGCAGAGGCCGGGTGGGCTGGGGGCGGAAACTGCAGGAGCAGGATCCGGGTGGAGGGGTCTCTGGGTGGGAGGCCTGGGCAGGGCGCGTGTAGGTGACGGTGGGGGGAGGGTGGTGGGGGCGGAGGTCGTTGTCCTGCAGGCAATACTCTGCTGTAACTGCCCCCCCAACACACATATACACTGAATTTCCAGAGACTTTGGAATAACAAAGCCATCAGTGTCCAGACCCCCAGCCGCTCCCCACACAGCTCTGGCCCCTCTGCATGCTTTTCTCTCTCTCTTCTCTGGTTAATCATCGGGGCTGCAGGACACTGTTTGGGGGGGAGGGGCCTGGCATGCTCTCGCGTCACCCTTTTGACAACTTCCTGTCCCCATCTAGGAAGCAGGAGTCCGGGTGAAGGTTCTGAGACGTCCCAGCGCAATTGCTAAGCCAGCCCTCCTCACCACCCACGCTGAGGACCAGCTCAGCTTCCCTCCTACCTGCTCCAAGCCGCTTGTCCATCAAGTCCACCTGCCACTTCCCTGCAGCTGCGTGGAACGAAATGTCTGGAAGACGCATTAATGAGCCTGGTTCTCCAGCCCTGGCCCCGAGGGAACACCCCCGCCCTGAACACCCCACATTCTGGCCATTGGCTGACCTGGGACGGTCCCTCTGGGGGTTTGGGAGGAGAGCGGCCTGGATTTCTCCCAGCTGATCTATGAGTTCTGAGATTCTGCCACAATATGCTAATGTTTTATTTAAATTGGGAGGAGCTGATTTGCATGTGGCAGTGTTTCCATATTCCACGGAGATCTCCTGTGCCTTCCGGTCTCTCTTCCCCTCTCTGCTCCTCTACAATTTCAAGGCTGCAGCTCCTTCTGCAGAATTTATTAGCTGCCTTTGGGGATGATAAAGAAATCAGTTTATTACACCATCTTATCTAAGACAAACTTAACCTTGGCGGGTGTGGGGGCAGACGAGGTGGTCCTGCCCCCGTCTCACAGGACTGCTGGCTCTCTCCAGGAAGGCAGCCCCCAGGCCCCTGCCGGGGACCCTGGGGTGGAACAGGGGAATGTGCAGAGCAAGCATGTGGCTGGCTGGAAGGGGCGGAGCTGTGGGCCCTGAGCCTGTGAGATCAAAGTTCCTCCCAGATGTCAGAGTGGGGATTCAAGTTCTAAATGGCTCACAGTTAAAGGCCTTAACCCGGTGGAGCCTCCAGGGCTTTCAGATTCTTTGTTGGCATCCTGAATCCGTAAGGGGGCCTGAGGAGGACCTCGAAGAATACCGGCAGCCTGCCTAGGCCGGGGCTGCACCGGGATCCAAGGTCACCGGAGGCTGGATACTGATTTCTGCTCAAAGTCACTCAGCTCGACACTCAACACGCACCGTTAGACAAGAGCTGGTTTCCTGGTCAGCTGGAGCACGTGGGCCAGCTTGCAGCCTGGGGCTGGTGCTCTGGGCTGACCTGGGGGGGGGGGGGGTGGAGGTGCCACGTCCTTGCAGTGGTTCTGTTCCCAGCCTTGTCTGGAGGCCAGTTGGAGAGGTGCCGGGGCAGGCAGAGATGAGGCAGCCGAGGACCAGCGCGGCACCCTGTCCCTCAGGAAGAACTTGCCCGTGGCCTCCAGAGTGTGGTCGGCGACGGCCCGGACTCCCGCTTCGGCACCTGCAGGATCCCACTCGGGCCGGAGCCGGAGCTGCGGGCAGCCAGCCCTGAGTGGGTGCTGGGCTCCCTGGAGCCCAGAACCGGGCCTCTGCCCCGTGCTGGCCGCACCCAGGGCGGCCCAGGGCTCTTTGCTCTGCAGTCCCTGGTGAGCTGGGACCCCCACGTCTACCGCACAGCGCGAAGGAGTTCCTGGTCAGTTCTGCCTCCTGCGGCCCCCCACTCACCAGCATGGGCCCCCCACTCTCAGCCCAAGCCTGCAGCTCCATTCCAGGGGACCCTTGGGCGCCCCAGGGTCCCCAGCTCACCCAACGCTGGAAGCAGCACTCCAGAGAAGAGCCTGGGGACTCTCCACCCTGGGTCTGTCGGATGTCTGCTCCCCCCAGGGACTGGGTCAGAGTGGCTCCCCTTCCCTGCTGAGTGTGCACCCGAATGGGAGAGGACCCAGAGGGCCTCATCACGGTGCAGGGGGTGGGAAAGACCTGTGGGGGGATCCACACCCCGAGGAGGACAGAGAGACGAGACAGAAGGGTTTCTGTGTTGTTCAGGGTGGTGGGGAGGATTCTCTGGTAAGATGGATTGTGGAGGTAGCTTTACTTTGATGCTGGGCTTATAAGGTGATGGTGGTGTGTAGGGGGAGATGAGTCAGCAAGGGAGGGAACAGGGGCCTCTGTGCTCTGGATGCAGACAGTGACCTAGATCTGAGGATGTCCCCAGGCGTGGGAGGCTGTGCAGAGCTCCTGGGGTGACAGTGCCATGGAGAGCCCTGGACCAGCCCAGAAAACCAGGGTGAATCGGTTCTTCCCAAAAGATGAATCGGCTTCAGATGAACTGGTCTATGACCCACCCACTCACCCCCACTCAAGAGCCACAGGCTAGAGAGGGAATGGAAGGAAAGACAGACAATGTCTCTTGAGGTGGGCAGGGAAGTACCCAGTCCCCACCTGAGCAAGGGGAAGAAGGGGAAGGCATCGGAAATGAGCAAATTCATGGAACAGACTCTGATCTGCAGCTCAGCTAACCCCACAAGCCAGACAATTCTCCGGAGGTCTCCTGCTCTGTGAGGACCTTATTAAGAGAGATATTTAATGGTAATTAAAAAAACATAACCAAGAGCTAAAAGACCAAATGTTGAAGCAAATGTGAAGGATGGAAAAGAAGGCACAGCTGAGAAAAAAAAAACCACGAGGCACAATCAACATCAACAGAGAGCCGATAGTAAATTAGAAGTGACAAGAACAGAATGAACTTGGCTTTGCTGGAATTACTGACATTAGGGAAAGTGTGAGATAATCACAGCAACATGGAAGAAAAATACAGAGAGGACAATTAAGCAGTCGATAATACAAGTGGAGGACAAGTGAGTAATTGTTGGCCCTGTAGCAGAGACCCACTGATGGGAAGGGGGTTATTTAAAGAGAATAAAAGAGAGGGGAAAAAAGAAACTTCCCTGGAATGAATAAACAGAAGATCTTATCAGAAAATCTGAAACAGAAACAGCTCAAGATGTATCTTGGTTGGGTTATTGGACCTTAGAGATAATAAAATAATCCTTTGGACGTGTAAACTGAAAACAAACAAACAAACCCCATCACCCAGGCTGACATCAGACTTCTCCTCTACAGTAGCCTCTGGTGTGGTGGGGGGAACGTTTCAGACTCAGAATCCAGGGAGCAAGTTTGGGGTCTCTGTGCTTCTCAGGGCTCACCTGTCCCCACTCTGGGCTCAAATCAGAGAACAGCATCTGCGTCATTTTAAAGGGAAAACATTTGACCTCAGAGTTTTGCCATTTAAGTACAGAGCTTTATATTTAACTTTTGTCATTTAATTATAAATGCAAGAGTCATACATTCTCAGCATTCTCAAGTATGAAAGATCACCAATGAACACTTCTTGAAGCAATGCATAAATACATAATCTGGGCAAATTAAGGGATGAAAACCAGAGACAACAAATTCAACTTTAAATATCAACTCAGAAGAACAAGTCACTTATATTCATGAGGGAAAAGTGCATTGACTAAAAATTTTATACCCAGCTAAATCACCTTTAATTATCCAATCAACTTTCATGCCTTCTCCAGCCTGAAGGAGCTTAGGAGATAGGCTTTTTGAGCTTTTCTCAAAAATGAAACAGATGGAAAAAAAAAAAAGTACCTCTTTAGAGAATCAAAATAAATTACTAGGCTGTGAAGGCACAGGATTCTAGGGCCCAGTAACGAGCACTGAATCCTTTAAAAATCAGGACAAAATGAAAAATATTGTGTGAGCTATGGTATCAGACAAAATGTGCCTTTATAAGCTTTGACCATGTAAAACACGAAACTAATAGAGTTGGGAAACATCCGGAAACCTGGAGGTGAGGAGGGCTGGGCAGCAAGAATGTTTGAGTCCTCATTTTCCTCTGAGAGGAATCACAAAGTAAAATGAAAATATGTTGCAGGAAAACAATACCAACCTAAAGTTTTCATGTCATCATTTTCCTTTATCCCTGGAAAAATCTAGAAATATGATGCTGGAGGTCAAGAAACACACATTGTATTTGGAAAATCTGTAATGTCACTCTACGTAGAGACAGACGAAGACTGGTTTTGCTGGTCAGGGCCGCTCATCTGGGCAGGGGGCTGGGGCCTGGATCACACAGCACTTTCAGCCCATCACGAGGAGTCTGTCCACACACGGTAACTGCCCTTATCCATCCTATTCAGGGTGTTTTGGATGGGGGATGAAGAACGGCTATAGCTGAGTGCATTGGCCATCTTCAGCTCAGCAAGCTAGAAGAATAGGGGGACTTCGGTCCAGCCAGGTTCCCTGCCCTCCAGCTGCTTGTCCACACCTGGGATACGTAGCACCTCCCTCCAGGTGAGCAAGAGAAGGACGGAGAGCCAGGGGCATGGACGAAGAGGACAGGCAGACCCCCTGAACCGCAGGGCTTGTCATCTCCCTGCCTAGACTGCCGGCTCCCTGAGGCCAGGAGCTCCGCCCTCTTCCGAGAGCCTCACACCTCCACCTCCCGCCCATGGCCAAGTGCAGAGCAAATTCTCAGCGCCTGGTCCTGGCAGGAATGGATGGATTTAATTTGGTTATGCCTGCCAGGTACAGCCGCCCCCCACCCCCGCCCCCAATTCCCCTCTCCAATATGCCAGTCTCCCGGGTCCTGAGTGCCTGACGGAAAACTCAGTCCCTCACAATTAAACTGCTTTCATTTCCCTTTATGAACTGAAGCCTGTTTAAATGACCTGAATTTCCATGCATTCCAGAGGCAGTTTGTTGGGGGGCTCTTTTCCCTCACGTTTTCCTCTGTCCCCCTCCTGGGTTAAAGAAAACATCAGGAAAATGACAGTGTAAGTGCTATTTGCCACTCTGAGCAGCTCAGGTTGCTTTACAGATGATGGGGGGAGATGGGAGCTTCCAGAGCATTTGCTCCCAATAAAACTGCTGAAGCAAGGTCAAACATCTCCACGAGGAGATAAAATGTTAATAAATGGCGGCCGTTGTCCCACATTTCTGAATTTATGCAGTACATCTATATGGCATCGTTCTCTCCTTGGTTAAATCCAGTGAGTAATTTCTGACTGTATTCATTGCCGGAGGATATATTTCTTTAGAGTTAAATATCACTAGCTGTGCATTTTGATATGAGAAATGCAGTCTGCAATTTATAACCAACAAGATCGTCAGTGAATCTCAGGCTGTGCCGAGAAGCGGGGCACAGAGAGTGTACGCGGGCTCCGCGTGTTTATTTTAGAATTCATTTGTGAGGAAACATCATTTCAAATTCCGCTGTCTGGTCCTCACTCGGGAGGGCGTTTTCCACCCGCGGACGTCCAGGCCCTTCTGATGAGGGGCCCTGGGGCTTCAGACAGGCCCCTGCTTCCTTGCAGCTCCCCGCCTGCTGTGGGTCGTGATTGGTGGGGACCAGCATCCTGCCCAGGTGAGGTGTGATGATGAGGCAAAGCCCGGAAGTGGACAGGCGAGGAGAGGCAGTGGCGAGCTGGGGGCAGGGCGGCCCTGAAGCGGGGCCCTGCACTCACGAGGGAACTAAGCGCTTCTCCAGGCCTCTCTGGGGAGGACCTGAGACTCTGGAGGAAAGAGGTGATGCCCTGGGCTGTGCGGAGCACTGCAGGGGCTGAAGACCCGGCTCTGGAGGGGCACAGGGAGCCAGAGCGGCCAGAACTGGTCCTTGGGTCGGGGAAGCCCCCTCTCTCCCTCCGCTCTCCCCTCCCCCTTCCCTCCTCTCCCGCTTCCCACTCCTTTCCCTCCAGGCCGCATCCAGGGTGGGGGCGGCAGGGGACACAGCAGTCCTTGCTAACCGGCCACAGACTTGGGGAACCCGACATACCAGCCGCCTCTCTCCATCCCTCCTTTGTTCCTTTGCTGTGAGTGTGTGTTCACCAGTGGGAATGCTCTGTAGAGGTCTAAGCTGGTCCATCAACTATGCACCTTCCCTCCTACAAGGCAAGAACACGCAGGGTAGCCGGGAAGCGGGTGGATGGTGCAGCTGCCTGGGGCCGCCCGGCTAGCCTGGAAGTGCCATGGCGCTGGAGCCACCACGCCACCGCTGATGCCCTGCAAGACCCCAGGAGGTGTCCTAACCTGAGCCCCAGCACCCCCAGCCTAGTCGCGCTGTGGAGATGATACCCCCAACCCAGGAGGCTTGCTGTCCCAGTTGTCTGGGACCCAGCAGGGGCTGAGTGGTGGCCCTGGGACGCTGTCTGGGTGCCGAGGGCCCCTGGCAGTGACCCGGTCTGTGTGTGGACACTCCCAGCTGCTGACCTCGGGAGGTCTGGGCTGCCCACCAGAGGAGTCAGGATGTCCTCACTGCCCACGCTAGGGTGCTGCTGCAGTAGCTTCACTCATTCTGCAGTCCTGGTGTGACCTCGGTGTTACTGTTTTAAGTTTTCCTGCCCCTGTGAGGGGCAGGTCACACCCGCTAGGGACACCAGGCTGGGTGGTCACAGCCGACTGTGAGTCCCTCTGGGGGCAGCGTCCCTGTGGCTGGGGGAGAGGTCGGGGGGCTGCCCCCCTTTAGGGTGTGGTACGCGGTACCATCTGGCTCCAAGCTCACCCCAACCCTCAGTGTTTGAAAACGGCCCAATTCTGAAGCCTCCTAACACACTTTATGGGTTTTCCTCTCTTGTTAATTTATGGAAAAATAGTTGTTAGCCATTTATCCACAAAAGGGCAGCCTGAGCCACAGCTGTAAAAATTCCACTGGCAGGACAGCCTCTCCCCTGTCCCTAAATGACCGTCTATTAAATCAGACACCCTGGCAAGAGGGCTTTTCCTTATTGAAATGCGTCGGGGAGGTCCCCTCCTTTCCGAGGGAGCCGGGAACATCCCAGAGCCTGTGGGCAGAGGCCACGCGGTGCTGGTCACCACTCCCCGGCCTGGCTCCCTGTGGGCCCGGCATGCAGAGCCCCAAGCGGGGGTGGCGCTGGCCACAGCTCACCTGTGTGGTCACTGCTGCCATGCGTCCCCATCCAGCTGAGTGGCGGCCCTTGCCTGGAGCTGGGAGACACAGGAGGACAGGGAGGAACCCCCCCAACACTCGCTGAGGCGTGGAAGTTGCTCTCGTGGCTCTCTGCCACCTCACGTCCCTTCCGTAAAGTGGGGGTGAAATGTGCGGACAGTGCGGGCTCTACTTTGCTACCATCTGGAGCAGGGCTGCGGGGACCTTGCTAGGTGAGCCACAAGGGGCAAGATGGATCTGGCTCCCATCCTCCCCGGCCCCTCCCCTTTTCCCTCTCATCACCGGCGTCATGAGCCTGAGTGATAATTCAGGGGCTGCTCGGAGACAGTGCAGGTAGAAACCCCTGGGAGTATGGCACATAGACGGGACACTGGCTTCTGAACCCCTCGGAGAAGGCAGAGGGGGTTACTGTCCTCAGTGGTGGATGCAACTCAGACCTGAATGCTGACTGTCTTCCCGGAGACCTTCCCAAGTTCACCCAGATAGACGGCAGAGCTGAGCTGGGGCCGCTGGTCCTCAGGCCCCCTGGGCGGAGGGATGGAGACAGGATGAGGCACATGGGGGGATGGGGAGGGAGCTGGCTCCCCAGGTACAGTCTCTCTCTCCCGTGATGCTCTGTCCAGTCTCTGCGGGACCCTTGGCTAGAGGGACGGGCGCTCTCCTGGACTGGGGCGAGGGATCACCCTTGAAAGTGAAGTCGTTCAGTTGCGTCCGACTCTTTGCGACCCCGTGGACTGTGGCCCTCTAGGCCCCTCTGTCCATGGAATTCTCCAGGGAAGAATACTGGAGTGGGCTGCCATTCCCTCCTCCAGAAGTCCCCGTTAGGGTGGCCAGAGTGGGGTTCTGAGATATTCCCAAGGTCACAGTGTGCTTACTGTGTCTGGCCCTGTCTGTGTTTCCGTGGGATGCAAAGCCCAGGAGATTGCTCCTGTGAACTCCTCTTCTCATGATGGAGACCAGAGCCCAGGGTGGCCAGGATGCCTGTCCACAGTGGCCCAGCTGTGGGGTAGGGCAGGGGTCTACCCTGACACCCCTCTCATCTCCTTCACTGGCCCCTCTTCCTTTCACCTGAGCCACAAGTTCCCAGGGAGAAAGAGCCAGGCGTCCCTCACTGCCTGACAGGGTCTCAGCTTCCCCAGCTGTCCATGGTCACGGAGTGCCCTGTCTGGGGGAAGGACTGGTTACACGGTACGCGATCAGCCTGATTCCCCAGTGTCACTGAGAACCGCTTCCTCTCTGCAGGTCTGCGCAAGGCCCGCAGCGCTGGCGGGGTGACAGTGCTGAACGGCTAAGGTCGTCCCTGCGGGTCTCGGGGAGGGTGGCCAGGGGAGAAATCCTGCCAAGAGATGCGGAGAACCCTGACCCCAGGCGCTGGAGCCCAACTTCCTGGGTGGATGAGGGGCTGTGTGCGGCCTGCATGGTCCACGGCCTCCCCAGGCCCTTCTTCAGCCATGAGGGGCCCTGGTTGCCGGTGAGGGGACAGTGTGGTTTCTCAACTGGTCCCGCCTGGACCCAAGCCCCAGCCTGTCCAGCTCTTTCCCTACAAAGGGCATGGGAGACAGATTGAAGTAATGAAGCTGGGCGATTTTACAAAGATGGCATTCTGCTTTAATTTTTGGTTCTTCATCAAAACGTCTTCCTGTCAAAATACCTGTATCAAGAGACACCCAGAAATTCCAGGAATACCATGCTGGGGTCGGGAGCAGCAGGTAGACGGAAAGCCCCAGGAGCTGCCCCGGCGCCCCTCGGGTGTGGGCTGGGAGGAGGGTGCCCCGTCCCCCCTGTGTCCTTCAGGGCTGACTGTCGCGGAACCTCGGGAGCCTGGGTCGGGGCCTCGATGTCCCCTCCTCCCTGCCGTCCAGCATGAGGGGCTACCAGGGTCCCTCAGTAGGTCCACAAGGTGCAGACTGGAGGGGAAGATGGGAACCTCAGGGGACCCCCCAAAGTGATTGTTTGCCCTACACCTGGAGAGACACACGGGCCCCAAGGAGCAGTGATGAGCACCATGTCTGGGGAGGGCAGACTTCTTAGGTTTGGACAAGCACAGACACAGGAATTCAGGGACATGAGGAGCCTGCCGGAGGCCTGCCGTCACACCCAGGCTGCTGAGCCGGGCGGGCGGAGCGCTCTGGAGCGGTGCCGGTGGGCCCTGCGAGGCCTCGGGGCCGGTCCCGCCTGCCAGCCGCTCCGGGATGAAGAGACTCAAGGTGGGTTTGTCTGAAGGGGACGAGGCTCACCCTCCCTCTGCGCCCCGCTTTCCTCCCCAGCGCCTGGCCCTGAGGCGCTCCCGTCACTTCTTAGGGGTGTTTCACCATCCCATAGCAAATGCATTTCACTAACACTGTAGAGAAGCAAAAAGGTAAACGAAAGTAGTACTAATCCAGTCACTTAACACCTACCACCTCTCGTGTGTTTCCTTCTAGACCTTTCCTTTGTACCTAAAAGTGCGATGATGGGGGGTCGCTGCACCTGGGCCAGGCTGCTCCGAGCGCTTTCCAAGCAGCACCCCCTGCTCCACCGGCAGCCCCCAGGGCAGGCGCTGCTGCTCTGCACGTGGGCGAGTGGAGCTGAGCCTGTCACCTGCGCCGGGCCTGCCGAGGAGGGCTGGGTGGGGCCTACAGCCCCACACTGCTGGTCACGGAGCGCGGGGTCAGACCTAGGTGCACGGGGCTGCAAACCCCACGTCCCCTCTGCCGGAGAGGGGTGCCTCCCACTCACCCACCCATTCATTCTGTCGTTAGTCCATTCACCCGTACCTTGTCGACACCCACTTTCTCCAGGGGCTGGACTTGGCATGAAGTGAACATCAAGACATGAGATGAACACTGCTGCCCACACTCACAGAGCCTTCCTGCCTGTGTGTGTGTGCACGCGTGTGTGTGTGGTGTGTCTGTGAGCGTATGTGGTGTGTGTGTGGTGTATGTGTGAGTGTATATGGGTGTGTACAGGGTGTGTGTGTGGTGTATGTGTGAGTGTAAATGGTGTGTGTACAGTGTATGTGTGAGTGTATGTGGTGTGTGTGTACAGTGTATGTGTGAGTGTATATGGTGTGTGTACAGGGTGTGTGTGTGGTGTATATGTGAGTGTAAATGGTGTGTGTACAGTGTATGTGTGAGCGCATGTGGTGTGTGTGTGGTGTATGTGTGAGTGTATATGGGTGTGTACAGGGTGTGTGTGTGGTGTATATGTGAGTGTAAATGGTGTGTGTACAGTGTATGTGTGAGTGTATGTGGTGTGTGTGTGGTGTATGTGTGAGTGTATATGGGTGTGTACAGGGTGTGTGTGTGGTGTATATGTGAGTGTAAATGGTGTGTGTACAGTGTATGTGTGAGTGTATATGGTGTGTGTGTGGTGTATGTGTGAGTGTATATGGTGTGTGTACAGTGTATGTGTGAGTGTATGTGGTGTGTGTGTGGTGTATGTGTGAGTGTATATGGTGTGTGTACAGGGTGTGTGTGTGGTGTATGTGTGAGTGTAAATGGTGTGTGTACAGTGTATGTGTGAGTGTATGTGGTGTGTGTGTGGTGTATGTGTGAGTGTAAATGGTGTGTGTACAGTGTATGTGTGGTGTGTATGTGGTGTGTGTACAGGGTGTGTGTGTGGTGTATGTGTGAGTGTAAATGGTGTGTGTACAGTGTATGTGTGAGTGTATGTGGTGTGTGTGTGGTGTATGTGTGAGTGTAAATGGTGTGTGTACAGTGTATGTGTGAGTGTATGTGGTGTGTGTGTGGTGTATATGTGAGTGTAAATGGTGTGTGTACAGTGTATGTGTGGTGTGTATGTGGTGTGTGTACAGGGTGTGTGTGTGGTGTATATGTGAGTGTAAATGGTGTGTGTACAGTGTATGTGTGAGTGTATGTGGTGTGTGTGTGGTGTATGTGTGAGTGTATATGGTGTGTGTACAGGGTGTGTGTGTGGTGTATGTGTGAGTGTAAATGGTGTGTGTACAGTGTATGTGTGAGTGTATGTGGTGTGTGTGTGGTGTATGTGTGAGTGTATATGGGTGTGTACAGGGTGTGTGTGTGGTGTATATGTGAGTGTAAATGGTGTGTGTACAGTGTATGTGTGAGTGTATATGGTGTGTGTACAGTGTATGTGTGAGTGTATGTGGTGTGTATGTGGTGTATATGTGAGTGTATGTGGTGTGTATGTGGTGTGTGTGGTGTGTGTTTGTACACGGTTGTATATGTGACCACAGACAATAAGCTAGTAAGTGCATAAACAACATCAACGCTGAGTGCACAGAAGTGAGCTCTGTGGGGAGCGCCTGGGAGGCATTTGGGTCCAGGAAGACTCCTCCCTGGAGTTGTTTAAGGGGGAGACCCGTCATTCCAGGAAACACGGTCAGAGAGTATAGGCGCTTTCATGGCTGGTGGCTCCGTCCAGGATTGGGTGCCTTACTCCCTGGTACCCAGTGCTGCTGGCAGGGGCGCAAGGGTGCAGGTGGATGGAGAGTGATGTCCGCAGCAGACACCCCGGGCTCTGCTGAGCACAGAGGCCCCCGAGCCCCAGCGCAGCCCTGGGCTCTTCTGGGGAGCCTCTGGTGAAGGCAGGAGAGAGGCACCTGGCAGGGGTGCAGAGACTCCAGCAACGCTGGCCAGGCCTGCCCTCGGCCGGGTGTCCAGGGCCAGGCCTGACCCCTGTCACTCCGGTGGCCTGGTCAAGGGCCCCGGAGGTCTGCGGGAGGCCCCCTTAGCTGAGTGCAGCGGGCTCAGGCTTATCATCTCCCCCAAACCTCCACCCCACTGCCGCCTCCTGAACATCAGGCCCTCCGGCCACAAATGCTGGCATTTTTCTTGGTGTGTTCCTCTCTCTCCCTGCTCCCCAATGTCCAGTTAACCAGTCCAGCTTGCTAATTTCCTGCTTGTATCTAAACCCTCCGTTCTTCTTCCCCAGACTACCCGCCTTGATCAGGGCCACCGCCGGTCTGCCCGGCCCCGTGTCTGCAGGGAACCTGCCCGCGCTGGTCACGGCTTGCCTTTCTCCTGCGGCCTCTCCTTTGTGGTCGGCGCAGGCACCGCCGAGCAGGCAGAGTAAGCGGTGCAGGTCGCTCCTCACAGGTCTGCAGGCTGAGGTCCAAGGTCCCCCCTCCTCCCTCCGGCCTCTCTGCCTGGCTGTCACTTCCTAAACAGGGTGCTCTGTCCTGCCCCAGGGCCTTGGCACCAGCTGTCTCCCCTGCGGCATCTTCTGTACCTCCATTGTTCAACTTGCAGGGCTCACGGGAACCCCGTGCCTTTTCTCCAGGGATCCTCTCTGACCTCGTGTATATGTTAGTCGCTCAGTCGTGTCCGACTCTTTTTGACCCAATGGATGGTAGCCCGCCAGGCTCCTCTGTCCGTGGGATTGTCTAGGCAAGAACACTGGAGTGGGTTGCCATGCCCTTCTCCAGGGGATCTTTCCGACCCAGGGACTGAACCTGTGACTCTTACATCTCCTGCACTGGCAGGCAGGTTCTTTACCACTAGCCGGACCTGGGAAACCTGACCTCCTCAATTCCCCCTAAATTAAGTACAGTCAGCTCACACTGACTCACTAGACTCAAACGTGTGTAATCTGTGTAAAGAGGAGACCAACCTTCCTCAACCAGGCTGTCTGCCAGGAGCTCCATCCCAATCATCTGGACTCAGGACAGACGTGTGGCTTAGCATCACCCAATGGGGATGGGAAGAGACGGTCCACGTGTCAGAATAAAGCAGGGAAACTTTTATTATGCATCACCTCACTACAAAAAACAAAGAGCCATATTCCTTCATTGCCTGTTTACTAAGTAAGTCACCCATCAGACGTTTAATGAGCACTCGCTAAGCATATAACCCTTTGCTATGTGCTGAAAACCCGATACTGCGTGAAGACAGGCCCTGGGGCTTCCCTTCTGGAGATGGTGGGCTGAGCAACGTGGAGCTGCAACCTCCTCGACACAACAAAGCAGCTTTTATTTATTTTTTCAAAACAGCTTTTTAGAATAGAAACCACAGCTCATGCAGAGCTGCAAAAAGTCGACAAGATACTGAGGCATTTCAAGAAAGAAGCAGAGTTCATACCTGGACCAAGTCCCTCTTGGTCATGCTGTCTAGTTCTTTTTATTCATTGATGGATTCCATTTTCTCGTACTTTGTTGATGATATTGGTGTCTATGCTCATGAGAGGCACTGCTCTGTAGCTATTCTTTTTTTTTTTTTTTTTCAAATAATGACTTCAACTGGCGTTGATGTTAAGGAATTGCCAACCTCACAGAATGAGACAGGAAGTGTCTCCTTGGCTTCTGGTGTCTGGAAGGGACGTAAGGAATTGGTATCGTTTCCTTTTTAAATGTTCGATAGTATCTGCTAGCAAGCCACCTGAACCTGGTGCTCTTTTTTTGGAACATTATCAATTATTTGATTCAGTTTCCTCAGTAAGTAGGAGCCACTCGTGATGTTTAAAGGAATTGGTTCATCAGATTTGATGTATAGAGTGGTTTGTAGGATTCCTTTATCTTCCTTATAATGTCCATGAGATCAGACATGATGGCCCCTCTTCATTTCTGACATCAGTGATTTATGTCTTCTCCTTTATTTTCTTGACTTAGACTAGCTTGTTGTTCAGTCGCTCAGTTGTGTCTGACTCTTTGCGACACCATGAATGGCAGCTTGCCAGGCTTCCCTGTCCATCATCAACTCCCGGAGCCTGCTCAAACTCATGTCCATGGAGTCAGTGATGCCATCCAACATCCTCTGTCGTCCCCTTCTCCTCCGGCCCTCAATCTTCCCCAGCATCAGGGTCTTTTCCAATGAGTCAGCTCTTTTCATCAGGTGGCCAAGGTATTGGAGCTTCAACTTCAGCATCAGTCTTTGCAGTGAATATTCAGGACTGATCTCCTTTAGGATGGACTGGTTGGATCTCCTTGCAGTCCAAGGGACTCTCAAGAGTCTTCTCCAACACCACAGTTTGAAAGCATCAATTCTTCAGCGCTCAGCCATAGTCTTGACTCTACAGACCTTTCTCGGCAGTGATGTCTCTGCTTTTTAATACACGGTCTAGGTTTGTTATAGCTTTTCTTCCAGCTAGACCAGCTAGAGGTTTTCAATTTTACTGATCTTTTTCAGGAAGCTGTTTCTGCTTTCATTGGTTTTTCTCTACCTTCCAGTTTTCAGCTTCCATTGATTTCTTCTCTAATTTTCATTTATTTTTCTGCTTGCTTTAGGGTTCAGTTGATCTTTATTTCTTGTAGTTTTCTAAGTTTGAACCATAGATGACTAGATTTAGGTGTTTCTTCTTTTTTAATGTGTTCATTAAAGCTATATATTTCCCTTTAAGCACTGTTTTCACTGCATTCCACAAATTTTGATGTTTTGTTTTTATTAAATAAACTTAAAAAAATATCTTAGAACAGTTTTAGGTTCACAGGAATATTGCAAAGATACAGAGAATTCCCCTATATCCCATTTCCTCTATATTTGCATCTCACATTGATGTGGTGCCTTTATACCACAAATAAAGCAATATTGATAAAGTATTATTATCTAAAATCCATACTTTTTTCCAACTTTCTTAGTTGTTAAGCGGTGTGCTTTTTCTGCTCTTGGAACAGAAAAGTTGGTTATCAGGTCCTCCTTATCTCCTCTTGGGTGCGGCAGTTATTCACACTTCCCTTCTTTTTTATGATCTGGACAGTTTTGAAGAATACCATCAGGCTTTTTATAGAATGTCCTTTGATTTGCTGTATTTTCGTTTCCATCTAGTTCACTTGAGTGTCTCTTGAGATTTCTATTTTTGTCTCATGTGTTATCTAGACACTGTGTTGCTTAATATGAAAATAATATGGGATTTCCAGCTACTTTTCTGCTATTTACTTCTGGTTTAATTTTACTGTGGTCTGAGAACCTACTCAGTTTTTCTATTTTTAAGAGTGTACCAGGTTGTGTTTAGTGGCCCAGAATGTGGTCTTTTTTGGTGAATGTTTGATGAAAACTTGGGAAGAAATATATGTGGGGCTCTTGTTGGGTAAAATAGTCTATAAACGTCCATCTAATCAAAGCTGACGGACAGACTGCTCAGTTCAACTACGTTCTCACACGGACTGGGTTTACCTGTTACCAGCAGAAGACTGTCGAAGCCTCCAGCTACCATAGATAATTTATCCAGTTCTCCTTGAAGTTCTATCAGTTTTGCCTCATGTATCTTGATGCTCTAGTGTTAGGTGCATATGCATTTAGAATTCTTGTGTGTCTGTGGAAAATTGGACCCTTTATCAATCTGCCATCCCCCTTCTGACCCCTGATAATTTCCCTTGTTTTGACGTTACTTCTGTCTGAAAATACATGCTTATTTCAGCTTTCTTTTGATTGGTATTGACATATCTTTACTCAACACTTTACTTTTTCCCTGGTTAAGGCAATACTTTTTTGTATTTTTGTTATTTTATTTTTCACAGTATCCTTGTTGGTTACCTATCTTAGATACAGAAGCGTGTGCATGTCAGTCCAGTCCTTTACTGCTGACCTCTCTGTGCCTCTATATTTAAAATGAGTTTCTCATAAACAACATATAGCTGGATCTTTTTTAAAAACCCCTATGACTCTGTCTTTAAATTGGGGTGTTTGGACCATTCCAATTTAAAGTGACTACTGATGTAGTTAGACTCCTATCTGCTGTGTTTGTAACTATTTTCTACCTGTTGTATTTGTTTTTAGTTTCCTTTTTTCACTCTGATTTTTCTGCCTTTTCAGGTTTTACTGAGCATTTTATATGATTAAACTCTGTGTCCTCTCTTAGCATATCAATAGTCCTCTTTTTAGTAGCTGTCCTATATTTCTCAATATAGAGTTAAACATTTGAAGTCTACCTTCATTAACATGACCCTGTTTCACACACAGTGTGGTTATATTCCCACTTCCTCCTTCCCGTCACTTACGATATTGCTCTCATTTATATTAATTATCTATATGCTGTATTATCCAATGGGCTTCCCTGGTGGCCCAGCTGTGAAGAATCTGCCTGCCAATGCAGGTCCAGTTCCTGGACTGGGAAGAGCCCCTGGAGGAGGAAATGGCAACTCACTCCAGTATTCTTGCCTGGAGAATTCCATGCACAGAGGAGCCTGGCAGGCTGCAGTCCATGGGGTCTCAAAAGAGTCCAAACAACATGACTTAGTGACCAGGCAACAATATATTACTCAATACATTGTTACTATTTCAAGCAAATTATCTTCTAGGTATGTGAAGAATAACACATAAAAGACCTTTGCCTTCACTCCTTTCTCTGATTCTTCTTTATGTAAATGAAGTTTATGACCTATGTCCTATTCCTGCTTGCGGAGTGGGTCGGCTGGCTATGAATTCCTGCCTGTTTTTATCTGAGAAAGGAGAGGAAGCTCCATAAGAACAATAACAACCACCACAGTAATAATTGGTTTGTATTTTTATGACAATTTATGGTTTATAGGAGTCTTTCCCTGACCTCCTTTCCCCCAGGGAGCTAATTGTTTTATCCCTGCCCCCTACCGTCTTCTGTATTTCTGTTTTGCATCTACCGAGACTCTCTGTAATTGCTGACTTATTCTGCTGTCTCTTCCACCAGACAGTGAGTCATTAAAGGCAGAGACTGTGTCTGTTTAATTGTTTCATCTTCATAAACCTGACACAGTTTCTCAGTATATGTATTTTTAATTAATAGACAATTTTTAGAGCAGTTTCAGAGTTACAGAAAAATGGAACAGATAGCACATAGAGTTCCCATACACGTCCATCCCCACATTCTTCTGATCTTTCTAATGTCTTGCATGAGGGCAGTACATTTGTTATACCTAATGAACCAGTATTAATATACTATTATTAACTAAAGTTCATAGTTTATTTTATTGCTCACTCTTTACGTTGTAAATCTCTCTGGGTTTCAACAAATGCACAATATCATGCGCCCACTATTGCAGTGTCATTCAGAGTAAGACTGTTTCACCACCCTACAAATCCCCTGCTCTTCACCTGCCCATCACGCCCTTGCCCTTACAACTCCCCGTCACTAAACTTTTACTGTCTCCATGGTTTTCTTAGAATGCC